ATTTTTTACCAATGGGTTGTTAGTACTTGACGTACGTAACTCCTTCTGGCTGGAAATTAGTAACTTACTGGCTATATATCAAATTTCTGTACTTGTGCCTGGTGCCTGGAAGATGTCTACTCCTAAATGGAGCTTTTGATGATTTGAAATAGTGTGTGAATTTCAGAATGATGCCATTCTATTTTGGTACATGCAGGTATTTTTTTTTCTCTAGTGTGAATGACCAGAACTGAGTCAGGCAGTGTGTCTCGACCATCTTCCAAGGTTTTATTTATTTTAAAAATCTGCTAACACATCTGTGATTGTCTCTATATAGTTGTCATTACTTGCAAGGCTTCTGGTGACATCTTAATTAACTAGAGAGGGAAAAACTAAAGATATAATTGTATAATTGTTCACAGATTTTCCTATATAGAACATGTGGATCCAACTGAAAATTCAGTAGCAGTGATTATAAACTTTTTCAGTTGAGAAGCCAAATGATTTTGTGTCTTTGGTCATTGCTCATATCTTTACTGTATCTTTTTCTTGCTATATTTTAATTCTGTTGACTATTTATTCTTCAGGCCTTTTGATAGGTCACTATATTTTTTGAGTCAGAGTATCATTGTATAGTTCTAGATAGCCTGGAACTTGCAGCAATTTTCCTGCCTCTACCCTCCAAATTCTGGAATTTGTAGGAATAAACTAAGTATAATATTGATTATTGATTATTTTGGTGTGCCTTGAGAGAGGTATGTTTAACGTTCAAATGACAGAAGTTGAGTTCATAGTTTATGTTCACCAGTATTTAGATCATAGCTATAGTATACAAGGAGAGTTGAGTAAAGAAGGGGAAGACTCCAGGTCTGCAGAAGTCATAAAGAAGGCTGTGAAAAGACAGGCCTTCTAATTTAGTCAAATGAGGGTTTCTCAAGGGGATCTTCTATATATACACAAACAGCAAGACCAATATAAACAAGATGAGGGTTTCACCCACAAGGACATTTTAGGAGGAAGAAGCCATGTTTTAGATCTATGAAGTCCACAAATATGGATTGATATAAGAAACAAGAATGATGAACCTTTTTTAGCCCTAGTCCACAGAACAGGGTTTGGCACATTGTTAACTACTCATTTTTTGTTGAGTGAATGAATGAAATAAAAAGAGATTGGAAACTCAGAAATAAGGTTGAAGGGAAGGCAGAGTCTCTGTTGGATCATATTTAGGCCCTTGCTTAATTCTCTGTTTTAACCCAAAAGAACTGTGGTCTCATATGCACTCAGTAAGTGATTGCTAAACATTTAGCAAATGTGTATTGGTCCAGTTGTCTACTTCCAAGCAGATTCCTAGTTTGGAAGGAGGGAAAGGAAAGCATGCCTCTCTCCCAAGGTCATAGCTAAGCTCCATGGGAGTACTCCAGAGCTACAAGAATCTCATTTGCTCTTGCTCTTTCCCTAAACCTGATTAGAGGGTGCAGTTAGATTGTTTTAAGACACGTAGACAGCTTATTGAATCCTTTCTAATCATCTGTCTAGGCAAGTATGTGGCTCTAACTTGAAATTTTGAAAGCTTGTTTCTTCACACAGTGTATATTGGTTTTGCTTTTGGTACTTCTCTGTTCCTGTCTCTGAGCTTTCCTACTCTGATCTCATTGTTGGCAGAGCTAAAGCCACAGCTGTGATAAATCCAGAGAAATGTGCCCACCCCCTGTCTGCCGGCTTGTCTTTGAAAGGTACCTTCAGGCTGCCACTGTACTACTGTGACACACCACCATCAGCTACCATTATAGGCAGAATCTTTTAAGTCAGTTTCTGCCTTGGTGATTTGATTTTTAAATTCTCTCCTCTTTTTTAACACCTTGCCTAGCAAATCCAAGCCATCCTCTGGCTTATCTGGGTCAGCAAGGTTCTGATTTTATGCACAGCGCTGTCAGACCACAAATCCGCTGCAGCTTTTCCTCTATTGAGGTTGCCTGTTTCTGTCAGCATCAGCAAAATGCATAATAAAGAAAATAAGCCAGAAAGGCTAATAACACTCATCTGAATAAAATAATCTCTTTGACTGCTTCAGTTCATTTCATTTTAATCAAAGTGCCAGAAGGGAATTTAGGTTTGCATTTTTTATTTATTTTGTTTCTTGCATTCAGCTTCTTTCTTATCACTAGTTTGCTGTCAAACCATCACTAAATGAGTTCTTTTATCATGCATATACCTGTTTTTTTAATCTTTCTCATTGGATACTTAATAACATATATTGAATGATGAATTTAACTCATTCAGAGTTTAGTCTTTCATTGCAGAACTGTTATCTAAAAGTGAGAAATTATATTCTTAGATGCATTGATAATTGCCAGCTTTTAGAAATTGGCAGGTCTGCGAGGGATTCTGCTATGGGGCTTTGGAAGTTGCTGGTGCTTCTGGGATTCTGGGCTCCCTTTGAATTCTTTGTCAATCTCAGCACCCAGTGCCCACTGAGGAACACAGGACTATTGTTCTACCTTGTCTCTTTGGGAAACTATAGTGGAGTACTGAAGTCTGCTTCCCTTTTGGTATATCTCTCATGTCTTCCCAGACACATACAGCTGCTTGGTTAATTGCCTGTCACTGTCTTATCCCAACTGTGATTTGCTAAGGGTTATGCACTTTTAGCAGGCTGCTTTCTTGGCTGTGGCCCACTGCCTGTTGAGGAACATGTTGGAAATGGATGAAAGCTAAGTCTTCATTTGTTTGGAAATGAAAATAATAATATTTCTCATATTTGCATAGTATTTTGCGTTGCTAAAGTTTTCTTGCTGATCTACAACAGCCTCGAGAATGGGCGAATAATAGATTGTGGACCCAGAAGGGAACCTCAATACAGCCATGCAGAAGCTCAAGCCATCCACTAGCACCAAACTTATGCTCTGCAGAGCCACAAATGTAGATGTTATTAATTAACTGCCATTCCCGACTGGAGGAGCTTCTGGGAACTTAGCAGTGATCTATTGAAGATCTTTCAGGAACTCGATGGGGCACTATCCATTTTGTATATGAGCTGGTAGAAAATTGATGGGACAAGTGCTGATTTTGTATGTCACTTTACTGAAACAACCATAGGAAATATGAGGGGTGTGGTAATATATAATATAGAAATTTTATGATTATGGAGCTGTTTTTTCCTTGGCCACCTTAGAAATCCTTCTAGCCATCTGTTGTTAAGTGTTTGAGCATTCATAGATTTAATCTCTATTGAGGAAGAAAAACAGGGCTGTGTCTTCAAATTAATGTTTATGATTCAGTTCCACGGGTTTATTTTGTCCAGTATGTTTGTAGGATAATCCCTTCTGTAGGTGCACACTGGCTTATGACTTTCTGGGTTTCCTTTTTTTTTGATTAGTCTTCTCTTCTGCAACACAGTTTGGTATTTTCTTGATCTTCCCTGAATTTTTTTTAAATAAGAAAAATACTTTTGGATATTTTGTCTACTTTTTAGGGATTAGTATTTAAAGAGGTTCACAGCTGTGTTCAGTACATTCCTAAGGCATGCATACCCCCTTTTTTAGATGTCCTGGCATTATACAGCCTGAGACTGGGGGTGGGGTGGGGGTGAAGAACAGGGAAAGCAGAGACATTGTACTAACAAATGCTAGATGGAAAAGATATGAAGACAAATTTTAATCTCCTAACCAAATGAAGTTTCCTCAGTTTTATCGACTCCAAATCAAAGAAGCCTGCAAAACTACTAGAGCAGGAAGCCATCCAGCTTCCTGTGCTCCCTTACAGTAGAGCTTCCTGCCCTGTAGGGCCTTGCTACACCGCTATGAAAAAATGCCTCGTTGACTTCCTTATTTTCCAACCTGAAGTGTGTTGCAGCTCACCTTTTGACTAGTTGTGGAGTTTAAACAGCAATGTAAAGGGCACCATAAATGAATCCTACTTCTCTTTTCTCTCCTAAAAGAAACCCAACTTCAAGGTGTATAGCTATCTATCTGTTCAGATTAGTACTGCAGACAGAGCAGGTAATTGATATGCTTTGGGAATCACATTTTCATTTGAATAAAGACTTAGAACTTTATGGCTCTACCAAAGCATGAATGTTAGGAATATATATATATATATATATATATATATATATATATATATATATTCAAATATAGTTGTTTTCTTAATTATATGGGACTTGAGATAATAGCTCAGCCAGTGCTGTTCAAAACAACCCTCTTTATATGTGTTACATGGAACTAGAGAGTCTTCTGTGAATTTTTTCATGGCAGATATCTCAACGTTATTTCTATGTAATCCTATTGTGGGCAACCTTGTAAAGGTTTTAGTCTGTAATATTCCATAGATTTTGTCTCTGATAAGATATTTTTTAAAATTATTTTTAATTATGTGTACATGTGTGGGTTTATATACATGAGTGCAGGTGCCCATGGATGTGAGAAGGATCCGATCCCCTGGAGTCCGAGCTAGGAGTGGTTGTGAGCTACCTGTTGTGGGCCTTAGGAACTGAACCCAGGTCTTCTGCATGAGCAGCCAGTCCCTTAACCACTGAGCCATCCCTCCAGCCCCTCTGATATATAAACTCTTTAACTTTGATGACCAGATGACCTAACTCTAAAATGTGGACTGTGGAGAGACAGTCTGATGCATTCTAGTCAGACAATACAGAACTGTGGTCTCTAACTTCCCCTTGCTCTTTATTGATGTGAGAGAATGACAATTCCTGTGGGCTTCAGTTTTCTAATCATTAAAATGAATTGGCCTATACCCCTTAAAGGCTCATTCCCGCAGCTACCCTCTTCCTCCAGCTAAGCTCAACCTCCCCAAATAGTAGCTGGGGTACAGAAAGTACAAAAATATATGTGCCTGGGGCAGGGAGCATTTCCCATTCAAATCATAGCAGTAGGCTTTAGAGAAGATAGCTTTGTTTCTGCTTCTGCTTTGATTACTATGATTTTTGTGATATGAACTATCATCATAGCTGCTGGCCCTGCCTGCTTACTAACACTTAATTTTTTTCTTCCATTTCTCTGCAGGAAAGACCAGAATGTCCTCTCTCCAGTAAACTGCTGGAACCTCCTCTTAAACCAGGTGAAGCGGGAGAGCAGGGATCATACCACCCTGAGTGACATCTACCTGAATAATATAATTCCTCGATTTGTTCAAGTCAGCGAGGACTCAGGAAGACTCTTTAAAAAGGTATATGGATACATGTCCCTAGTCACAAAGGTTCTTGGCTGGAGCAGTGGCACGGCTTCGTAAATAAGAGAAAGAATATTTTCTTTCACTTAGCAGGTTTTCCACTGACCATTCTATACCACATAGTCTTGAAGAAAAAGAATATTTGAAGTGGCAAACATTTTAACCTTCTAAGCTGAATTGATAATCCTAGGAAGACACAGTCGTGGATCAGCACCATTAACCATAAGCTTTATGTATTGATACTGTTCTGGGAGCTTCCTTTATGCTTTGCAAAACTCTTGGGACCTAGGGATCTTTAGTGTTGTGTCATATTTTCCTCATCTAGTTCCCTTACCAATTCCTATATGTGTATATTTTGAATTTAGTTTTCTTTTTAACTTCTGTCTTAGCCAGTTGGACTCCAAGATTTAGTTATTCTCAGCATGGACATCTTACTGCTTTCTGAAATTTGATTGTTACTTAATTTATTGCATATAGATTGAGAAATTTGACCAAAGAAAAGCTGAAAATAATTGTCATAAACTTAAGACATTTTTGTCAAATACCCTTTCAGGAACCCCCCTTTCTTAAGCTCTCAGTGGAGTCATTCTTTCATGAGACTTGGTTATAAATGCTCGCAGAGACCCTGAATACTGTACAAAGTAGGAGTCTTAATCAGTGTTGTATTGCTGTGAAAAGATACCAAGAGCACAGCAGCTCTTAGAAAAGAAAGGATTTAATTGGAGCTTGCTTATAGTTTCAGAGAGTTAGTCCATTTTCATCTGGTGGGGAGCATGGTGCCACACAGGCAGACACGGTGATAGAGAAGTAGCTGAGAGGCCTACATCCAAATCCACAGACAGCAGGAAAATAAAGAGTCTAGAACTGACTTGGTCTTTTAAAACCATGAAGCCCAACCTCAGTGACATACTTCCTCCAAAAAGGCCAAATCTACTCCAACAAGATCACACCTCCTAATCCCGCTCAAGTAGTGCCACTCCCTAGTGACCAAGCATGCAAATCTATGAGCTTCTGGAGGCCATTCTTATTCAAACCATCACATATACCATGTCTGACATTCCCCAGAGAATTTCCAGAAAGTGAATGTCAATAATTTTAAAATTATTTTTAATTATGTGTACATGTGTGGGTTTATATACATGAGTGCAGGTGCCCATGGATGTGAGAAGGATCCGATCCCCTGAAGTCCGAGCTAGGAGTTGTGAGCTACCTGTTGTGGGCCTTAGGAACTGAACCCAGGTCTTCTGCATGAGCAGCTAGTCCCTTAACCACTGAGCCATCCCTCCAGCCCCTCTGATAGATAAACTCTTTAACTTTGATGACCAGATGACCAGAGGATATATACAGCTATTTATTTGCTGACTTCTAGATGGCAACATCCAGTATTAAGATTAGAGGCTAAGTGAGAAAATAGTTTAATAATCAGAATTGTCATTGATGTGGTTGTAGCTCTTAATCAATTTCCTAGTTTTTAATGTTGAACAATGTTTCAGATTTGATTAGACTTGGAAGTAGTACAGGATTTCTTCCATTTTTACTGGCCTGAACAAAAGACTGAGTACTATTCTGTATTTAACTGCATCTATGAAGAGGCAGTCTCTGTGTTTAGAGGTGGGGTATTGAGCGTATAACATCTGAAAAAGAGGGAAACATAACTCCTGTCAACACTCACTGACAGTCTGTTGTGACCCTGCTGTTCAGGGCACTTAGTGCCATCTCCGTGGTTTCCAGCATCTGCTCTAGCTTACTTATTGCTAATCTGAAATTCTCTGTAACACACAGTAATGTATGTTTCTGTGACTGAAATAACTTTTTTAGATGGACTCTCAGCTGTAATCTCTTTTGTTCTTTGTGACCTTGACACCTGCTTAGACTATCTTTTTTTTGAGACAGGGTTTCTTCTGTGTAATAGTCCTATTTGTCCTGGAACTTGCTCTTGTAGACCAGGCTGGCCTCGAACTCATAGAGCACTGCCTCCTGAGTGCTGGGGTTAAAGGTGTATGCCACCACCACCCAGCTTGCTTAGACTGTCTTAAACATTCCTGCAAAACTGGTGGTTTCTGCCTCCTTTTTCTCTGTTCATCTGAGAACAGTATTTCCATGAGGTGTTTGCCTAACTCAATTTCAGGCTGTCCGTCGGCTTCCCTTTTCTTCTAGTCTTGGAGTATATTAGTTCTTTTTATGTTGTTGTGATAAAACAATATGGCGAAAAGCACCTTATAGAAAGAAGGGCTTATTGGACATATGGTTGTAGAGCGATAAGAGTCCATCATGATGGAGAAGCATGGCAGTAGGCATAAGGCATGGTGGCAGGAGCAGGGAGCTGAGAACTCATATCTCTCATGCAAGTGTGAAGCAGAGGTTAAACTGGAAGTGGAGTGAGACTTTTCTCTCAAAGCACACCGCAATGACTAGTTCCTCCAGCAAGGCTGCACACCTAAACATCCCAAATAGCACCAGCAGCTGGGGATCAAGTGCTCAAATATCCAAGACTATAGGGGACATTCTTCATTACTTCATCACAGAGAGAAATTAGCTGAGAGAGATTTATAGCCTCTCTACATCTCAGAGAAGTCTGTGGAAGCAATAGCCAGATATCAAAGCTATTAGTATTCCTGGTTCCTCAAGTACCCATCTACATTTCACCAGAGACCTGGGGCATGTTAACCTCTAGAAAAAAAAAAAAATCCTTTCATTAATAACATTACTAATCAGGACCTTGGGGTTGACCTCTGTAAGCTGTGCTCTTATATTGATGATGTAAAGACAAATTATCAAGATTGTTTATGATACTTCATAGAAGAGTGGTTCTCAACATTTCTAATGTTACACCCTTTTAATATAGTTCCTCATGTTGTGGTGATCCCAACCATAAAATTATTTTCATTGCTACTTTATATCTGTAATTTTGCTACTGTTAGGAATTGTATCGTAAGTATCTATATTTTGTGATGGTCTTAAATTACCCCTGTGAAAGGTCATTCAACCCTGGGTTGAGAACCACTGTCATAGAAGAAAAACAAACATATGATAAGTTTGTAGCTTAGTATATTTTCACAAACAGAATACACCTGTGTAACCAGCTCCCTGATCAGGAATCAAAACATTTCAGTATTCCACAATATTTCAGTATTCCACAATATTTCAGTATTCCACAATATTTCAGTATTCCACAATATTTCAGTATTCCAAAAGACCCATCTTTCTTTCCCAATTCCAGATGCTCTAGGAGCAGCCACAGCACTTATTTCTAACAGCAAACTTTGGTTGTGCATAGATTCATATTTTGTATGACTAGAATCATGAAGATTTGGCCTGGTTTCTCTCGTTATTGTCTTTAAGCATATTATAATTATAATTGTATAAATGCAGATCATAAGACTGTTTCTTGGTTGTTGTAACTTGGTTTCAATATATTATTACTAATTTGAGATATAAATAGGATTATGGAATGGCTAGTGTTTATTATTCTAAAAGATGATCCATTTCTTTTCTCTTCCCCTTGGGGTTCCAGTGAATGCAAAGAACTCTCTACCAAGTTGGCTAATAGATAAGAAAAGACTCATTCTGTTTGAATTGAATGAGAGCCTTTCTGCTTTCTAGTTCTAGGCAAAAACACATTCTTCAAATCCCAGTTTTCTGCTATCTTGTGTAGAGTCTATTGCACCTGAAGAATTAGATCTCCACTGATAAAGATGAAAATCAGATAAGAGACCATCTTTTCTGTTTTATGATGCTTAGTGCTTCATAAAAGATGAATAAGATCAGAGACCTTATCCAAGGGACCTTTCTCATGTTGGATCTGCTGCTAAATTTGAGAAACTGAGCTCAAGACCTGAACTTCATTATATGCTTCAGTTCTCTAAAGATAGAAACAACATCCCCCTCCCCCCCGAAAAAAAAAAAAACAACTTGGGTTATAGATCTTTATCGTACCTCTGTCCTACACTATAGATTTCTTCTGAAAGGTTGTAGACCCTGAGATAAAGACAGATACAAGTGGAGTGTGAGTATAGAGCGAGCTGACTTACGCAGTAGAAAAGCCACATTTGTTGAGGAAAGGCGCTTCATTTCAGAGGCTCTTACAGTGACCAGCAACCAAGATGTAGCACAGTGGAATCATAGCATGGATAGTGTTTTTTGTTTTACCAGTAAATTTGTATCTAGTAGCAAAAATAAAATCAATTAAGTTTGTATCTGGTAGCAAAAATAAAATCAATTTCTTCACAGACACTGGCTTCAGTAAAGGTACTTTTATTTCTGATTTTACTGAGGATAGCTATGTTTTAATGCTAGTCTGTAAAGTGTAGTGATAAAGAAAAATCAATCTATATGTGCCGAGTATTATGCTAAACATTTTCACATATATTATCATCTTTAATCCTTGAAATGTATTTGTAGTTATTATTGTTATCTCTTTATAAAAGAGGAAAATAAGGCTTAAAGACATTAAGCAAAAGATGCATTGAGACTGGTAATTTAGTCCTATGATCTGGATCTAGAAGCTAGTGCTTTCATCTACACGTTCTCTCAGGAAGCTGTAGCTATGGTGTGCAAGGAAGAGGCCTTACTCTTTGCCATTGGATCTAGAAAGTCATCTAGAAAGTAGGACTAACATTTTCATTTGTACACAAATCTCCCTGAAACATTAACTCTGTTGTTACTTTTACATGATGTGGACTAGCAGTTCAGAGTTGTCATGAAATAGGCAGCATGTTTTTCTCCCCAGGTATAGATTCACTAGGAAGAAGGGAAATAAAGGCTCTTTGAATACGAGGTACGGAGAAGAATCAGACTCATAGCTAATTCAACTGGTTTGGGTTGTCAATTTGGCTACACAATTGGCCCCTCTATGCTGCTGAACCCTCTTAAGGATATTCCCTGCTGACACTCTGGTTTGTGGTTATACCTACTGAGAAATACTATATATTTTGCATGAAGCTGTGTTGGAGATTCCTTTATGCTAAATATAACATCTGGAAAGTAGCCTCCTGTCC